ACTGGATTATGGAACTGCTGGATTTCTTCCAGAATGGAGTCTTAGACTGGCATCCCTGAGCTAATTTTAGAACACCATGTTAAATAAAAGGTCACGTCATCCTCTTCTGCTGTCCTCAAGCCGATCCGGGCAGACTTCTGCACAGTATGGATATTTTGAAGTAACTGTGTGTGCTTTTCCAGTATAGCTTAGTTGAATTGACTGGGAATTTGGGGGAAACATTCTACATCTAGAAAATGTTTTGAAGGCAGCATCTTAGCCATTCTTGGGTTGAGTGTAATAGTTCTGTACAGAAAAAAATAAGCCATTTTGGTGCCAAAAGCAGCCAGCTGAGCATTGAGACTACTCAGGGGGATTTCTTTGCCTTGTGAATTCATTCCCTCACTGGCACTGAGGTGCTAGGAGGCTGCCAGCTTGAGAGTTCCCACTGTTGCACTCTGACAGATCACTTTAGTAGCGGCTGTTCTCCCTTTTTTATTGCAGGCTCCATTCTGCAAGGTCCTGACCTCCTTTGGGTGGAGAGTATGGTACCATTTTATTTACACCGCAGGTGGCTTCCGTGGTCAGTAGAGTTACAGCTCCTGTGTTATTCGTGCCACTACTTCACTGCTTTCTCCAGGGACCGAGAGGAGGTGGCAGTGCTTGGCTTAACTCCTGTTCGTTGGGAGGTATAGCTCGGTGCTGTTCCCGTGTTGCAGCCTTGTCTTGGAGTCTCACCTGGTGAGGACGTTTCCAGCCTTGTGGCTATGGGCCAACTCTGCCAGTGAAATCTTCCTCAGGAATCTTCTCCCTTCTTCTCTTGAGCTGGACTTTTTTATTCTGAGGATGACGTAGTTGGACATTGGGCAGTCTTCCTCTGCTGGAAAGAGCTCCTAAATGCTTCTTGTTGCATTGCAGCCAGCACCCCACGCTTCCCAGCAGCTGTGTGGATGCCAAGGACTCTTCTTAACACAAGTGCAGTCAGAACTGTGATGGGTGCTCTTAGTCAACTAAACTCATCCCCATTGTTTCCACAGGCCCCTAGCTGGCCCCATGTTTCTGAGATCCATCACAATGTTTCTAAACTTGTCTCTAGCTTTATGCCCTTTCCCAGTGCAGTCACTTTTTATGCTGCCCTTAATACTGGCAATGGGGATGTGCTTTGGTCACCTATACTGTATGTTACTTCTGGCAGAGGCTCGTTAATTTTCTTTTTACTCTTTATTTATTCCCACTTAATAGAGGTCCTTCTGTAGAAATCTTTAGGATCTTGGTATCATCTCAGACAGGTTCCGTGTTTCCTGAAGCTGCTTTGAGGTGCAGAGGGCCTGGCTTCAGCCTGTACCTGCAGGCCATGTTGCATGTTTTTAGAAACCAGGAGCTGTGGATGATACAGGTCAAATCCTAGTTCCCTCTGGTGAATTTCTGGCAGGGTTCAGCCAAAATTTGGAAGCCTGTGGTTGTAGTAGCTGATTTTGTAAATAGTTTGTATAATAAATAAAATATTTTAAAAACGCTGCCTTCTCAGCTCAGTGTTCTTTCGGGGCTGTACAGAGGGAATCAAACTGGTTAGTGCTCTCCATGGGCGAGGGGCCTCCCCAGGTCTTTGGATGTCTCGCTGAGGTCTGCTGCAGGGGGGAGAGGATGGTTCTCCACCTGCAGTCTTTCAGGATGCCTGACCGAACCCGGGACCTGTGAGCTTCTGGGAAGAGGCAGGACTCTCGGCTGGGGCCCACGGGCTACTGTGAGGTCTCTGCAGTAGGCTAGAAAATGGGCTGAAGCAGCTGGACTTGGAGAAGACAGAGGTTCGATACAGCAGTGGTGAGTGTTATGAACAATGCAGAAAGTGAGATTCCAGTGTCCTCTGGAAATCACGGAGGTTGTGAGTCTAGAGCTGCTGGAGTTGGGGTCAGGGCACTAAAAGGTGGGTGACTGTCTGCAAACCTGGCATGAGCAAAATGATACACAGCAATCCATGCAGACACGTCTTTACATGCCATGACCAGTATTACTGATGGGAAGGGGGCCAAGTTGAGGCTGGAGTTTTCAGAAACACTATCTTCTTTGGGCGTGAAGGGGAGAGCTCAGCTTGCTGGATTACTTTAGCATGAAGTAGGTTCTAAAGTTTCTGCCTCTCTTTGCAGGATGCATGATATCATCTGGCTGCCCAAATTGTCCCTCCTCATCACCAGTTTCTTGTGATGTCTTGGAGAGGGAGTGGTGACAGTGACCTGTTGCTGACTCCACAGCCTCCATTTATCCTAGCACCTGGCATGGACTTGGGGCTAGGAGAGAAATGCCCACACACTTCATGCTGGAATCCTACGTGCCCCAGCTTGTGTCCCCAGCAATAGCAGGGAGTTGCCTGATGTCTTGGGATCCTTGATTCCATACAGGGCCACTTGACCCGAGATGTGTCAAGATGTGCTGCTTGGGAAACTGGATTTTTGTGCATTCAGTTCCTCTGCTCAGCTTTCTGATTGCCTCAATTGTAGAACTACGGAGAAGGAATTTCTTCAGGTACCTGAATGAGAGAATGGGGAAATGATGCTTGATTTGGATAAGATTTCTTGCTTTCATACTGTTAACGGCTGAGTTGGTCAGCTGGACCAGGCTGTAACTCCTGGTTCCCATAGTGAATTACTATGTTTTGTATGGTTTTTGGCTGTTCTGCTACCATCTTGTGTCTGACTGACCTGGCCCATGACAGCAGATAGAGTTTGAACATGTGATTATGGGAACTATAAAAGGAAAACACTTACGGGAAACAGCAAAGTCCACCAGAACCTCAGCCTGTCTTGGCTTCAGCCTTATGGTGCAGAATCTGAGATTTTAGAATCTTCCTCTTAAATTCTTTCCCTGTTTGTTTTTTTCATTGAATGCGTGAGAAACCCTAATCTCTGCTCTCCAGAGCATGAAACTTGATTGTAGGAGGGAGGTGTTACTGCATGATTGTGTTCATTTTTAGACATAATTTGCTATAACTTTTTTTGCAGTAAAATGAAACAGCTGTAGCTGAAGTTCACCCAAAATTCCCGGTCAGCCTTTTCCAGCTACCCTTCTGCAGGGATGGCGTGCTACAAAGTGTGTTGAGGCGTGGGCAATTGCACATGGGGTTGGAAGTGCAGAGCGAGGCCGAGAGCCAAGCCTTTCAGCCTTGGTATAAAGCTGCAATGAATACAGATGAAGGAAGCGGAGCTCTTGCACCATATGAGGGATGGAGAAACTGGAACTGGCCTAAAGCTGCTCTAGAGTTTTCTCTGAGGCATGTGAAGGCCAGACTGAGTTTGGGTGGGTTTTGGGGGAGTGACTCTGCAGTGGCCAAAACCAAATTCTTCTCTCCCTCTTGAGGCAATTCTCTGATAAACTGCGAGAAGTGTGTTGGCCCATACCCACCCCTTAATTCAGGGATTTATGCTAATATAATTCTGATGGCCTGTAAACTGATGCAATTTTCTGAGTAATCGTAGAGATCTCGTCTCTTACCAGAAGGAACAGCTGCCTGGGGCTCTCCTGTGCTTCAGTAGCTGAGGCGTGAGGTTGCCTCGAGGTGAGATAGTGCCGCTTACGGCAGCGGGTGAAGAGACGCAGGGAAATACAAGTCTCTGCAGTCCTCTTGGAGGATGATGGAACCAACTCGGGGGGGGGTTCAGATTTGTCTGGGGAAGTGATTTGCTGTTTAGAGACTAGCTCAGATTTGCAGAGACCTCTGTTGCTGGTGTGGAACAGACTGGGACTCCTGCTTAGTGCCAACGGGCAGCCCCGTCTCCCTTGTCTATGGCTAGAGCGGTCAGCGGTGGTACGCAGCCTTCCCTCTCCCAGGCCTTTCCATATTGGGAACAACACGCAATACACTGGTAGAAAATGTAGTCGCTGTTGAAACTAAAAATTATAGTACAAAAATGTCGCCTTGGCGTCTTCTAGTAAGACGTTGAACTGTTGTCTTTCCGCTGCACGTCCTCACCCATGGAGAGCAGCTCACTGGGCCGCTGTCTCTTGTGCTGACCGGCGTTGTCTTGTCTCCTTCTGCTCGCTCCCTTCCTGTCCTTTCTTCCATCTCGTTGCCCATCCCAAAGAGCAGTCAGTCTCTCTGTGTCCGGGTGTTGTCTAGCTCCTTGCACGACGGGGACCTGTTTCAAGATGGGGGCTCCTAGTGCTACACAGTATTGCTGTTAAAAAGCGAGTGCCTGGCTGTAGGTAGCCCTCAGGCTGTCCAGTTGGAGGGACTGGGCAGATGCTGGCTGTTCTGGTAATTAATCTTCTCCTTTTTAGAAGACTTTTATACTCTGTTGCGCTGCCTGAGGGGGCCCCGTGCCCCGAAGCCCGCTGCGCGGCAGCCTGCCGCGGCGGGCAGGGGGTGCCTGTGGCTGGCTGGCCACCGGGGGGGGCGATAGTCACCTTGAGCTGGTCAGGCTTAAGAGTGGCCAACTTCGGCTCTCTTGAAACCCTGCAGGTTGGGTTACTGTTGTCTTTGGGATTTTTTTTTTTTGTTGTTGTTGTTGATCAGACCTCTTAGTCTAGCGAACGAGCTGGCTGGCAGATTCTCTTGCTGTGCTTCTAACCCCCAAACTGGAGCGTATGAGAAGTGAGCACCTAGGATGCATCCCCTGGTTCGGCACAAGTCCCCGTTGCACCGCTCCCCCTTGCCCTTTTGTTTTCCATCAGGCAACGCATTTACAGTGCCTGAAAGGAGGCTGGATTTACACACGTATGATTAACCTGCAGCATTCTCTCGCGGGAGACTCGGGACAAATAGCTTAGCAAGAATAATGTGCTTAATATGAACAAACAACAGCGGTAACACTAACCGGATTAGATGTATTCCATCAGGCTCTGAGACACAGATTAGTCATTGGTTTTTAGAGGGAGTTTTAACACATGGACCAGGAAAACAGAGTTGAGCTTATGCACAGAGCGTGCTGATATTCTCTTTTTAGGGCTCATTATAACTAAATGGACTGTTTTTATTAACTGCGGGCACCACTAGCCTTTCCGGAGAGCCTGGGGGAGTGGAAGTTGCCATGAACTTGGATGAGTTGCAGTAGGTGACTGGAGCAGTGCAGCAGCTCCAGGGACAGGAGGGACAAAGGACCCTGTTACGACCCTTGGGGGGCGACTATCCTGAAGTGGTCCCTGCACAGGCAGGGCCTGCCTTGGACACTCTGCACCGGGTTGTTTTTGAGGAGAGCTGGCTTGGCCCAGCTGACCTCGTGCTTTGCAGTTAGCGGCGTCAGTGGCCTGCTGGAAGCGGCTTTGGAAGGTGCTCTGGGAACATCTTTCTAGGAGTTGGCTCTGCTGTGCTCCCGCCCCTCCTGTTCCTCCTCCTGAGCAGGGCTGAGCTGCAATTTAAGTGCAAAGTGGCAGGGTTTCAGAGGAGCCGCATACCAAACGCATTAGTGAGGTGTAATGCCCTTGGTGCTGCTGTGCTGGCTCAGGCCTGAGGCTCTGACCTTGATGGATCTGCTCCCAGGCAGTGTAAGGAGCAGAGGGAAAGGCACCAGGTCAAGCAGCGACAGCAGAGGGAGGAAGGTAGAGAGTCATGGGACTGGTGGTGTTGGATCCAAGCGGCATCTTTAGGTTCTAGTACAGAAATGCTTATGGATCAGAAGGCATCTCTCTGGCTGCATTTCTCAGCAGGATTCCCTGCTCCTCAAGCGCTCAGTTCAGCACTGGAGGTTTAGGATTGTGTGAAGAGGTAGTCTGTGGAGACAGATAGAGGACTGGAGTCCAACACAAGGTTGTGGTGTTGAAGCAGAAGTTTATAAAAGGCTGAATGGCGCAGAGGAAAAACACAGCTCCTCCTGATCTCTTTGTCTTGTCGAACAAGGTCAAGGCAACAGCCAGCAGGGATTGAAAGGCAACAAGCATGTGGCTAACCAAAGCTGTCTGCTCCACAGATGGGCTGAGGAAAGCAAGAACTTTCCTCCCTGTCCTCCTAAGGGTGGATAAAAGAGCGTGACATGGATGTGGATAATGAAAACATCTATGGTTAAATAAGATTTAAAGCAAACAAACCTTCCTGCTTCAGGGCCAAAGCCTGCCTCTGACAGACAGGAGTTAGAAAAGAGCTTGCTTTCTGCTTCTCTTGAAGCTAGCCACTGTCCGGGGCAGGATGCTGACCTGGAGGAGTGTTTGGCAGCTGGTGGCCCTAGGCAGGAAGAGGAAGGCAGAATCTGCTTTAATCCTGTCATAGATTAGGGTTGAGCCAATTTAATACTTGAATTAAGGAACAGGCAGATCCTTCACAGAACTGGTTGTTAACGGCTTTCCAGAAACCCTCTCCCATCTGGGGGAGGGCCACCCTCAGCACCCTGCTGTGCCTGTAAGAGGGGCTGCACAGAGAAGGGGCTCTCCCTCGGGCCCTGTGGTCCCGGCGCAGCACCTACCATGTTCCCAGTGGGTGCATCAATGTACAGCTGTGCCAAAAATGGCGAGAAGTCTTTCTTTGATATGTTTCCAGAGCATCTAGGTGTCTGCTATTAGCCAAATTTCAGTAGTGTTGTTCTGTTCCCTGGATAGCTAATTTCCTTTATACTCCTCTCTGAGCTGTTGGATGGATGTGAGGTGATGACAAAGCCTGAGCCTGGAGGGGAGCTGTGTTGTCGTGCTCGGTCAGGGAGCCCCACACCTGTGTTCTCACACGTCCTAAAGGCGGCAGACTCACGGCAGGGAGTGTGCACAACTGCTCTGCGAGGCCAACATCTGCCCTGTACCCTTCTCAAGCCATGAACCCTGCTTGTAGATACCAGAGCACCTTTTCCCCTCCATGGCATCAGCCTAGCACAGGTTCGAGAGGAGGAGGGTTGTCTCCTGAAGCACATCCTTGGTGAGCCCCATGGAGAGGTGGATGCAGCTGTGGTTTCTTCTCTGCCTCCTCACCTTCATCCCTCTCTCTGCACCTCATCCCCTCCCCTGTTCTCTTCCACTATCGCTCCTTCTCCTCTCTGTTTGCCAGCGTGGTAGTGGAGAAGACAAGGTGCCTTGATGCGCTCTGGCTTGGTCTTCTCCCTTCTCCAGAAACCTGCACAGGGAGAGCTCCCTCCCCAGTTTTCTCTGGCTGCCTTTTGCCTTTCTAATCAGTCATGGTAATTTACCCTGGCACTGTTTGGCAGGGGCCGTACCTTGGCATCACGAGCAGCCAGGGTCAGCTGTCAGCCTCTGAGCCATGAGCCTAATGCAACAGAACAGATGTAGGTATTTTTTCCAAGTTTTCCCTGGGCAGCAGGATTAAAGTCTCTGTGTTCTCAGCTGGGGTCCCCGGTGTAGTCACTTCCCTCTGTGTTACACAACACCCTGTTAAGAAGAACAGCACAAACATGTTCATTGGGATCCCTTCCCCCAAGCCTAGAAGGCCAAGGAACAAAGGCGAGGGAGGTTTCCAAAGGCTGAGGAGCTGCCTGTTTGGTCCAGGAGCCCTGAGATGATCCTGCCTAGGCATCCCCCTGTGAAAGGGCCCTGCTGCTCTCCATCCTAGTGGTGCCAAGGGTAAGAGGGAACATGGGGAGGTGGTGGGTAAAAGAGCAGTGGGGTCATGTTCCTCTTAAATCCATCCGGCTGTGTGCAAACCTGAGTGGGGACCAAGGGGGGGAGAAACTAGTGTGGCAGCATCACCGCCAGGCCTGGTGACTGCACCTGCCGCCGGAGCTGGAGGCTTCTGAGCGTGCGTGTGTGCCTGAGCAAACATGCAAACACAAGGGAGTGAAAAGAAACCCCGAGGGGTGCTAGCAAGGAAGACGGGGTTAGGGTGCGGTCCACAGTCTGGGCAAACTTTCTTGCTTGAATTCAAAGGTGTCATGCCCTGAGAAGACTGATGTTTTCTGATGGCTGCAAAGGTACTGAGGGAGCTTGCTGGAAACAGGGAGGCAGCGTGCTTTCCTTAGCCGATCCTGAAGCGGTTGGCCACAGAGAGAGACTGTGGGCACCTTTGGCGAGCAGGAGAGGGCTTCCCCAGCAAACCAAAGAGAGCAGTCAAGTCCACATGAGCACACACAAGGATCTGATGTCTCTGTTCACCAATTACTCGCTTTAGTGACAAAAGACCATAAATGAACAAGGGAGTTAATTAGGTCCGCAGCAGGCCAGTTTGGAGGTCTGCAGGGCTGAGATGTCTGGAGCAGATTCAAAGGCACAGGGGGAAGAGAAGGCCCTGGAGCTCTGTGTAGCAGAGGTGCTGCTGGGTTCTCCCCCTCGGGGAGTGCTGTGAAAAAACATCTCTGACCAGAAGGATGTTCCCCCGGAGGGGGAGAGACCAGGTCCTGGCAGCATCTGTTTGTTCAGGCCCCTGATGAAGGATTTAAACAGCTTGTTAATTCACTCCTTTGTCCAGCTGCAGACCCTTTGTCATTGTGCGAGCCTCCAGGGCGGTGTGTGCAGTTGTGAGCCAGCTCCTATGGCCCTGGTACTCTCCATGCACTGGATGATCCAGTGAGCCGTCGGCAGGGCTGGGGAGCCGGGGGGCATGTTGCAGCTGTCTGGCCCATTTCCAGTAAAATGCTCGCAGCAGGTCCTTTCCATCTGCTTTGGCCCAAGAGTGACCCTTGCAAACCTCCTCTCCCCTGCAGTCGCCTCAGCAGATGGTGGGAAGGCAGATGGAAAGAGGGAAATCTCCAAAGCTGTAGCAATAGAAAGGTCTGACCCCATGGTACCTCTCACCCCAGCACCCACAGGTGTTGGGTTCTTGCAGTGCCACCTAACCTCTGAGCCTTGGCCTCCGTGTTCCTTCTCCCACCCCTCTGAGCACCTCTTGCTCCCTTCTCTGGACCTCGGTGGAGGCTCTGGATGGCATCCAGCTGGAAGAGAGCCTGCCCCAGCTCTGCAAGCAGAGTAGGTAAGGGCACCGCATTACGAGAGGAGCTCACAGCATGGCAAAAGCTGAGGAACGCTTGCGCTCTAAATGATGTGTTGATGGGGTCTTGGAGCATATGAGTTTGGAGGTGGGGGGTATTCAGTTGTGGTGAATCACTGCAAACCACTTTGGGCAGCTGCGCTCTTGACTCCACCCCACCCCCCCTTGCCTGCTGGATGCATAAAGTCTGTTTTGGGAGCGGGGCAGAGGGTCCTTTCCTTACCTGTAATTTTACCAGACTGCAGGAATTCAAGGAGGTGGAAGGGTGCGCTTGGCCCATGCTGGAGGAAGTTTCAGCTAAGCAAGTGTGTTTGGGACAGCTGAGTTGTTTATCACCCACCAGGCTGCACCAGCTGCTCTGGAGTCAGGACTCAAACCATGACCAGACTTGGTCCCCATTCCAGACTTTTCCTTCACCTCATTTGTTAGTGGCTTCAGATGCAAATTCTGTAGCCGGTATGTGGAGGTCTGGCTGGCTTGCAGGGCTCCTGTCCAGCTGCCCTTGTTTGATCCTCTTCCCCAGTGGGCCTGGCTGGATGTGAGCACTGCAAAGGTCTCAGAGGGAATGTGCGGGGTACCCAGGTTATGGTGTTCAGTGCTGTCCCCCTTCCTCTCCGGGTGACAGCGATTGTTGACTTGGACAGAGGACAGGCCCTTCCGATAACACAAGTGAGACATGCATCCAAGTACAACACAGAGGTGCACGGTTTGCCTTGCAGAGGCAGTTCACCCCACCTTGCATTAGGTACGATGCAGACAGCTCATGAGAGACAACCTTTCCTCCTGCAAAATAGCTTGTGGAGGCAGTGTGGACAAGGAGAAAGAAACAACCTGAAAAGGAATAGTAGGATGGTGGAGAGAAGCTTGGAAAGGTCACCAGGCCTGCAAATGCAAAGATATCTGGGGGCCACGTAGAGGGGCTCCACTGTAATGCTTGGTACCATGCCCAGCCTGAAGCTCTAGCACCATTTAGTAGGCTGGACCAGCCTTGGCCTCGGTCTTGTTTGGCTTGATGTTGTCATCGTGTCCCAAGTACAGTATCATTGTCACTCTTTAATTCCTCCAATGAGGTGTTGCAAACAGATACACATGTGTTGTAGCCGTACTTTGGATTTGGATTTGCCTCTGGGGACAGGCAGTGATAACTGTTAAGAGCTGTTCAGAAACACAACAGTTCGGGATCTAAACTGGTTTCT